GAAAGCAATCTACTTGGTTCTACAAGTAGAGTAGCATGGGTGAACTTCCTTGCTTACAGATCAAATTGCTGGATTAGGCCCTGCTCAGGAAAGTCAAAAGCGAAAGGTTCCTGTGGCGTTGCTCATAGGTCTTACTATATATGCAGTTGAACATAGCAAGTTACGTAACTTCTCATTTTTCTAAAGTGAATAATGGGAATACGCTGCACCCGTGCTGTGCGGCCAAGTGAATGCCAGAGTTGGAAGGCTTCCTCGCTGCTTAACTGTCTTCTAATTATTTTTAGTCTTAAACCGTAATGCTATCGCATGGCTTAGCTCTTGGGTTTCTGATTTGTAAAGCTCTCTGTTTCACTAAAGGGAGAAAAAAAGATTTCTCCACGCAATAGCTGGTGGGCATCCGTTACCCTATAGACAGCTGGTGCTGTTTAACAAGCGAGGCTGGTGGCGTATGAAGCCGAATGTGCACACATCCTCACGGACACTTGTGGCTGCTTGTGCTCCAGATGGCACTTCCAAATATATCTAACTTTGTGAACCGACTGGTGAATCAACTCTTAATTGATTGCAAGTTTTAAACAAGAGTAAGATTGAAACTGTGCAGACAAGGATTTCAAAGCTGAGCTGCTTTGGAGTAATTTTCCTCAACTTCACAGGGGAAAATCTGTCGTGAAAGCATGCGATGTAAAAGAGTGCTCTTGTTTGCGTTGTCCTCTTTGATTTAAAGATGTAACTTGCTCTTTTAAATTTCCATTGGGCTGGGAGCCAAGCTGTGCTCCCTTGAAGACAATCACAAAGTGAACTTCATTGGAAACGGGATTGGGCTCCTAGCATGGAAAACAGCAGTTCAAAAGAACTCTTTTTGGAGATTTATGAGCATATGAAAAGAGGGAGTTCCAATGAGTCGTGTACCCGTGTAGAAACTAGTTTACAGTGATCTCTGTAGCATTCAGGGGTAACTATATTTCTTAACTGCCATGCAGGATGCAGCCATCCTTCTTGTCATAATAGGGTCCCAACGTTTCCTCTGGGGTGTCCTTAGCTTTGTTTTCCATCTAGTATTTGGCATCCTTCCGTTGTTAGTGAGTAAGGGAAAGGCAAAGCATGAGTGCCGGCCCTACTGGAAGCAAAGTGCTGGGTGTGCAGTTACGCAGTCGCCGTGGTTGGAGCAGAGGAGGCATTCCCATCTTCCCTCGAGCTGTTGCCTTGCGCTGCTCTTCACCCTGGTGTTGGTTTTGCTGTTTGGGGCTGTGCTGTGAACTAGGTCACGGAAAGGATCTGAGACAAAAGCGTGTGGCGAGGGGGGGAAAAGGGATTTTTTTTTTGTTTTGTTTTCCAGCAGTGCTGTTTGCTTGCTGAAAATTGTGTTGACACAACCGAGAGTGGTAAACTGTGGTGTGGAGGTGGAAGCTACTTGCACCGGCTTTCTTGCTTTATTGTCAATGCCGAAATGCAGTGCAACTGTAGCCTTGGGCTGAAGGAGCTTTCTTTCACACAGGGCCAGAAGCTCTGCAAACAGACTGTGCCTTCAGCGGAGTCCTGCAAGATGTAATGATCTTTTGTGAAGCTGTTTCAATCGGCTGAATTGGGCTCTCAGTTCACAGTTGTTTGTCGAGGGATGGGGCTGCTTCTTTATGCAGCAACAGTTGTACTCGCCCAGAGGGGTAGGGTAAGAGTCATCATTAGTAGTGATTTGGTAGTGGAGATGTTTAAAGGCTGCTTAGTTTGGATATTGTTGTGCTGTGACGGGGACACATGCGGTTTGTCTTTTCTAACTTTGCTCAGGCTCTAATGACAGGCACCGTTGAGGTGATGGTTAATCTGGGCTTGACTTCTCTCTATGCCATGGAAAGAGCTGCAACATGGAGATGTAGTTTAGCAATGTTAGTTGTGTTTTGGGCCCCTCCCTACCTCTTCCTCAGTAGTTCCAGAAGCTTTTCTGGGCTAAGGCTGTTCCCTTCCTGCTGTAAAATAGACCAGGCGGTAGGTAACATGCTTGACTTTGAGAAGCGTGTGTTTGGACTGTGCTCCTCCCCCACTGGTTTCTTCATCTCATGCTGCTCAGACTGGGAGTGTTGTCTAGCTAGCAACCCAGGCTGTCCTTTGTTGGCCGAATCTAGGAAGCCTTGCTGACAGTCAGCCTCAGCTGGGCACCGGACAAAGCCAGTGGTGGTCTACTTTTTCCAACTGAAGTTGGAGAAATGTATTTTATTCCTGGTAGCGCTGTAACTGCCCTGGCAGGAAGATCTATGTAGCCACTGGTATGTCCTGCAGCTGGGACAAAGGATGTGGGGCTGAGTCCCAGGTTCATCATACTTTTGACAACAATCCAGGAGGCTTAACATTTTTGGGGGCCGCCTTGTTGACTTTTCACAGAGCTGTGTCAAAACCGTTGCTCTTGTTTACACAGAGAACGAAAGTTGGCGTGATCCAACCTGTCCCGACGTTCTTGTGTTGGTCTTCTCATGAATTTTTCTCTACTTGGTGCCCAGCACTGCCTTGCTTCACCCACCATCAAATGGGCTCTGCCCGCTCATGGTTCTTGTCCCGGCAGTCTGTGCCTTTCCATAGCAGCCTCTACCTGCTGGAATGTCCTTTGACATCTCCAGAGAAATGTGACCCTGGGCTGCTGGGGATGAGATGGGTCAGAAGAGGAACTCTGTTCCCAGGCACTATCTGAGCTCTGATTCTTCTGCCTGGGAGTTGAGGGAAGATTCTTTTATGTGGTGGTTAAAGGAAAAGGCTGAGAGTCGATCCTTTCCTAGAAACCTAGGAGAAATGCCCTTACCAATAAGGTAAGAGCTGGCAGCTCTCCTTGCTTTTCCTGTAATGTGGTGATGATATGTGTTTGTGAAGCTACTGATTGTTCTCAAAGGGATTCCTATATCATCACAGTTGGTGATTTAAGCCTCTAATATTTGTTCCCTTTTGTACAAATGAGGGTGTTTCTGGTTTGTAATCCTAATGATTGCAAGGTCCTGTGTAGCCATCTCCTTTCTTGGTATTGGAGCACTTTCTGAAGGTAGAGGCATGGTGGCCTCATCCCCATTTACCAGAGAAGGACACATACAGAGGAAGGATTTTTCCATGGTTGTTTACCAAGACAGAGGTAAAAATCTCTGAGGTCCCTTCCAGCTTAGGCCATTCGGTGATTCGGTGATTCTGTGATCAGCTTTAATGAGTCCTAGCCTATGGCTCCAGCCATATGCTCCACACACAAGCTGTGTGCAAGTCTGGGGAGTGAACAAGCATTAACATCCTGTGTTCCAGGCTGGAGGATTTTTATTTCTATTACAGTAATAATGCCATTTTCTGAACTGTGCCATGCCTTGGCTTTAAATTCCTCTGTGCTTAAATCCATCCTCATTCTTCCTCTCCCAAAACTGGGCCTTACATCCCCGTTCTTATTTACCCTACCTGGTTTCTCTGCTGCCTTTGAGGAGCTTTCTTGAGGCATGATATGCACTTAGATCTTGGGAATTCCCATATGCAAAAGGTTTCCCCCCTACCTTCTTCATTGCAAGAGCCCAGCAACCCCAAGTGTTGTGCAAACACCTGCAGCTCCTGGTGCAGTGGGAAAGCTTCTTTATTTCATTGCAGGTTGTATCACCAGCCAAGGAACCCTGTAGGGGAAGACGCTTTGTTCTTTGGCATGGCTTGTGTGTGGTAGAGCTCTCTGGTTGGTCATAAGCTTTTCTGGAGGTGTTAGTGGAGGAATCTTATGCCTGTAAAGAATAGTTGGCCAAGTATAAAGCCCAATTTCTGTTACTCTCCCTCTGTGCTTGGGGAAAGAGAGGGCTGACTGTTGGTTGACTGTTTTGTTGCTCGCAGTTTTGCTGTGAGCAGAAAATAATGGAGGGATGTATTTTAATTTTAAGGCGGTCTTGTACCTGCTCTGAAAGTACAGTGTGGCTGTAGTCCTGTGTTGGCTGGAGGCAGCAATCATCTGGGCAGGAGGCACGTGAGAGTGCTCCTGGGGGCCAAATGTTGGGATGCCAAGGTACCTTCACCTGTAGCTGCACCCCCTCTGTCTGCACCTCTTCACTGTGTGTATGAGCTTCCCCAAACTGGTGTCTAACCCTCCTCCTTTATGTTTCTCTTCTCACCTAACACAGCATGTAGGTTTGGAAAGCAGGATGGTGTCTCCCCGTCTTCCCTATGGGGTGCAGGGTTTTTGACATGTCAGTGTTGGGAACTGTTTTGATGTCACCCTGCTCCTATTCCAAAAACTATGACCCTCTTCTGCCCTTTACGGATGAGACTGAAGCTTCTGTTCCAAATGGAAGTGCGTTGTAAGAAGTGTTGGCCCATATAAGTTAGATGTGATCTCTAATCAACTCTCTTCAGTGTTATTAGTATGTGTATATATAGAGATGATTTTTAATAAAATTCAATTCTTCGAGGCCCAAAGTATCTTCTGGAGGCAAAGGTTACAAAGAAAGGGAGGTGCTTGTGGTGCCATTGATTGTATTGTAAAATGGGCACACCTTGCGGTTGTGAAAACAAAGCAGGTTCAGGCATGGTGTCTGATCCTCTCCTGCCCTTCTCCTAGGGAAGTCACCCTCACTCCCCACCCCTTCCCCTTACCTATAGACTATAAGGCTGCCTTTCTGAATCCTGGGATCTTTGGGCTGAGCATTACACAGGTGAAGAGGTGGTGGAAGTTGAGCCTGGTAATTTTTCTGGGGGTGAATTTCTGTATCTAGGCTGCTGAGTCTTCTCAAGTCGCTGTGTTTTCCAGGTGACTTACACTGTTTCTTCCGGATTTTCAGAAGAATGAAGGGCTAGACTTTGCAAATGAGAAATACATTATCAGTTTATTTGAAGCTCTACAAATGTGTGTATTTTACTACACCAGAAAGAGAGGTATTGGCCAGGACAAGCTTCTGAATTGGGCACAGTGTGATGAGTGGTGATGTGTGGCCAGGGTGAGGGAATTGTTGCAGTAGGAATGATCTCTTGCTTTGCTCAGAGCATGCTTTCATGCCTGTTTCTCTTCCCTTAGGTCGATCGTGAGGAGCCGAGCACACCACCATCCTTTGATTGCACTCCTCCTAAGTGAAGCCCACTAGCTCTCTGAGGACCAGACCTCACTGATGACTAGAAAGCAAAGAGTACCCAGGAAAGCACTTTTACTACGGACTCCACCTCAGGAGTACCAGGAACTCATCTTCTAAGTAAAACCCGTGCCCCTTCTGTGCAGACCCGATGTCTGCTGCGATGGATACAGAATCAACATATTCAGGATACTCCCACTACTCAGGTCACTCCAAAAAAGCTCACAGACAAGGGTAAGAAAATGTTTATTTTTAATTACTTAACTGTGTGAAGCTAGGACATGTCCTCTAGGGAAAAAAATTGTAAACCAGGATGAAATCAGTGGGGATGGGACCACATCTCTGGAGGAGATTCATGTGGAGAGTCATCATGAGGAGCCCAGTGAGGAGACTAGAAGCAGTAATGCTGCTAATTTAATGATAATCAACCTGTTGGGTGCACACTGGGGTAAAGTACGGTCAAAAAGGTTGAGATAGCATGGAAAATATCACTTTGCTCTTAGAATATGAAGGATGAGTAATCTCCGGGCAGAAGACATGTCAGACTTCCTAAACTGATAGTTGCCAGTTGTTTTCTCTTCTGAGACCGTTTCCCTGTTGTGCGATAATAAAGTTTCCTATCTTTCCCTCTGTCCCCCTGACTACTCTGCTGCTGCTGTGTGGGATTTGTTTGGTTTTGTTTTTTTTAATAGAAAGTAGTACTTGAGTCTACAACAAGTCTTTTATCAGCATCGATTGGATTAGAAGTCAGGCTTTTCTGAACTTGAATAGCAAGTCGTCTCTGTTGTGGTAGTTTAGCAGCCTCAAAAGCCCATCTTGTTCTGAAACTTCTGTTTACTTGGAAACATAATGATGTTGTTTTTTCCTGCATCATCATTAGTTTTTGCATGCAAAACATATGCCACTTACAGTCTTTGCCACTTAGAACTGAACTGGTCCAAAAGAACTTTGCGTTTCAGAAGCAATTATCCCATGTGATTGGAAAAAGAATTCTTTCGTGAAACGAAGTCTGTTTGCTTGCAGTCCAGTTATTGAGAAAAACAACTCATTTGCCTTTTTCCCTTCTTTAACGCCCTCACCCCAATATGGATTGCCCTTTGAAGCTTAGAATACCAAGTGGAAAGATGCTTTCGAAGTTCCCAAAACACCATTAAAATCCTAGAGCCTCTTACTGTGAACAGGAAAAAGTCTCATCCCATGAAACCTTTGGGCTTTGATGATTCCAAGAGAGATGGGATGGAGAGAGCAGAGTGGGGCCTCTGGGTGCTTCTGAGCTTTGAGCAAGACCCTGAGCACGGTGAGGGTCTCTGATGCAAAGGCTGCTTTCCTGTCTGTGTAGGAAGGGAGAGGGAAATATTGGTGGGCAGATTGGTTGGGCTTAACTCATCTCAAGGTGTTTTCAGACGAGAAGCTGTGAGGTCTACAAAGGTGCACTGGCGTGGTCCCCGTGATGTTTTTGTTGTCTTTGTAAGAGGTTAACTGGGGGTTATTTACCAGTGGAAATAAACTTCACCAGTTGTCCTACAGTGTTAAGGTCCTTGCTGACAAGTCTAAGTTGCAGGAACTAAATCTGTCTTGACTAATTCCTTCTGTGAACTCTACGTGTTCCTGTGAGACCCTTCATTGCAGGTGGAGACCTGTGTAGACCAGTTGATCCCAAATGGAGTTTCCAGTTATTTGGAGAACGCAAGCTTCCCTTTCAAGCCCAGCACTTGCAGAAGCTCTTTATAAGAGAAGATGAGGTGGTGGGGATATACCCCTTTCCCCTTTTCTACCCTTCCCAGTCACTGAAAGCATAGATTATCCCAGCCACCTCTCTGTAGGCTGCTCTGGGCAAGATCCCTTTCTGTCTTCCAAAGCTTGTTTTGTCACAGATTAAGTTGGTATCGATCAAGAGATGGGCAGCCATAACTATGGCCTAATGTTTAGGGCACCTGCTGCGGATAGAGGTGTAGCACATTCCAGGTCCTGCTCCAGAAACTATCTGGTAACATTGTTCTCCTCTTGCCCTGTTTGGAAAAAGGAGTCGGGACAGGCACAAATCGCCACGAAGCAAAGATGGCAGTCGGTCTGAGAAGTCTGTCACTATCCAAACACCTCCTGCAGAGCCGCTGCTTGGGAACGATGCCTCTCGGACAGAGGAGGGCCAGGTAAGAAGGGAATGAAAGCAAATTACTTTTGACAGCACCAGTGCTGATAATACGACTCCTGGGGCACTAATTGATGCCGTGTCTCCAGACTGTCATCTGCCAACCTCTATAGAAATAGCCAGAGTAGGGCCACGAAGATGCTCAGGGGGTTGGAGCACCTCTCCTATGAGGATAGGCTGAGAGACTTGAGGCTGTTCAGCGTGGGAATGAGGAGGCTCCAGGGAGACCTTACTGCAGCCTTCCAGTACCTGAAGGAGGCTACAGGAAAGCTGGAGAGGGACTCTTTATCAGGGAATGTGGTGATAGGACAAGGGACAATGGTTTTAAACGGAAAGAGGATAGATTTAGATTAGATATTGGGCAGAAATTCTTCACTGTGAGGGTGGTGAGGCACTGGAACAGGTTGCCCAGAGAAGCTGTGGGCTCAAAAAAACCCACCAACCAGCAAAATTGATTCCCGGTTTCCACCCAAACTGTGTATAGTAATACCTGTAACAGTATTGATGTAGCCACAGCTAGACTCACGTCATGTACTGCGGTTTGATATTTTGTCATCAGATGTTTGTTTTCATGAGTCCCAGCTATTATTTCAAATAGATCTAAATGTGCTGGAAATTCTTAAGTCCTTGTTTTCATTCAGAACTCCTCAATGTGGGTTAAAGTGTAAGCAAAATAAGCTGATGCATGAGCAAGATTTTTCTCCTAGGGAACAGGGTGCCCTGAGTTGGGTCCAACACCTTTGTATCACTAGAAATTTAGACTCGTATTTCCATGTAACTGCACATTTTTCTGTTTGTGCCACTTAAAGTGGGAAGAGCTCTTACAAGGGGTAGACCAACACTAGGGTTGCCTGTGATCTTCTGGGCTGTAGCCTTAAGCTGCTGTGATGTGTCTGTCCCTTCTCTCTTCTGCTCAGTTTCTCAGCTCATCAGATGGAGGAAACTAGGCAGAGTTATTTCATGCATAAACATAAAATAGTTTAAATGCTTAGATTGCTTTACTGGAGACACTGGCAGAGAGGGAAATGTGACAGGATTATGCTGCCTTTCAGGATATACTACAATGCAGATCTCTCTTCTGGGGCCTCTGTTTTGGTGAGAAGTGATTCAAAAAACCCTTGTATTAATTTAAGATGATGACTGTTTGTGGTTGGTCTGTCTCAAAATCCTACTGCTCTAGGCATGGGAGGTATTTGTGTCTTGGAGTGCGTTAGAAGTAAATTCCTGGAGTTGTTCAAAGTAGTCGTGCTGCCTCTGTCTACTCCTTTCCCAAAGATCATTGAAGACTCTCTAACTCTTTAAAAAAGAACTGAATGAAGATCGAAAATGATGCCTGTTTCTTTAAAACAAAATGCTTTCTTCAGCACGTGTAGCTGCAGAAGTCTGGGGGAAGGTGTAAATCCTATTAATGACAGACTGCAGGAAGATAATTCAGGAGGGTAGGAGGAAGAGCAAAAACGCACGCTTCTGAGTGTGAAAGCTGCGAAGGTGTCGGATGCCCAGCAGCAGAGTTCGTGCATTGCCACTGCTTGGGGTGTGCTTGTGGGAAGCATCAGGAGTCTTCATGTGTGTGAGTCACTCCAGCAGCAGCCCTGAGTCAAATCCATACATGTCAGCGTAACGCATTGGCCGTGCCAGCACCAGGAAGGAGTAGTCGGCAGCATCGTGGGATGAGAGAAAACTAGCTTGCAGGAGTCCTCTGATATTAGCTAGGGAAGAAATGACACTTTGAGAAAATGTAATGTAACCTGACTATATGGCGACTTGTGTTTCAGGTAAGTTGCTCTGTGACTGAGTGCCTTGTGACAGTGTCCTGAACTCTAATACCAGAGCTACTGGGTAGTCTAGGATCCCCTCAACTTGAAGTCCTATACATGAAAATATCTTCTGTGACCACCTATGATTTGTTGGTTTAAATAAACTTTTATTAAAATGTCAGCTGTTGAGGGCAGTGCTACTGTAGAGGAGAATAAAAGAAAACAAAGTGGAGGAACTTGCTGGAAATGTGGTTGCTTCTGCTAGGGGTGGAAAAATGATGTGTGAACTTGTTGTTGATTGTGCAACAACAACTGGCTTGAAACTGAAATGAAAATTTCCCTTCCAGGTGCTTCTGTGATGCACTTGCACTTCAAAATTTGTGGGCTGGAAGAGTGCTAGTCGTTGCCCTGTACATGGGAACTGAAGTTTACTGCAGTTTCCAGGAGTTATGTGATATTACTCGTTAAGTGTGCTGGAACCGCTGGGGTACAGTGAGTGGCATAGCAAGCTGAGCTACCTGCTTGTACAGTTAGGGTTTTTTTAGTGCCTAGAGTTTATAGTCACTGGTTTGGACAAGTTGCTGTTGTTTCCAAGCCTTTGCTAATTGTCAGGGTTGATTATTAAATTTATTGAAGGTGTTGGGTTTGCTATATTATTTATTTATTTATTTGTTTGTTTGTTTTTCTTTGGGACTTTAGTCTGTTGTAGCAATCTTTTTCTGGGCAAGGAAAATACAAGAGCTGGAAGGAATGACCTGATTGTTTCAATATTATTTTTGTTTACCTCTTCCTCCCTCAGGATGACAACTGGGGTGAGACCACGACAGCAATCACAGGCACCTCTGAGCACAGTATTTCCCAGGAGGACATTGCCCGGATTAGTAAGGATCTGGAGGACAGCGTTGGGTTGGACTGCAAACGTTACCTGGGCTTAACAGTGGCAGCTGTTCTTGGACTCCTTGTCTTTTTTACCCCCATCGCCTTCATTCTGTTACCCCAGATCCTGTGGCGGGACGATCTGGAGCCATGTGGTACTGTCTGTGAGGGACTGTTCATCTCTGTGGCATTTAAACTCCTCATTCTTCTGATTGGGACCTGGGCTCTGTTTTTCCGCCAGCCCAAGGCAGATATACCAAGGGTGTTTGTGTTTCGGGCCCTTCTCTTGGTCCTCATATTCCTGTTTGTGTTTTCCTACTGGCTTTTCTATGGCGTTCGCATCTTGGACTCGAAGGACACCAACTACCAAGGAATAGTGCAGTACGCGGTGTCTCTGGTGGATGCTCTGCTCTTCATTCACTACCTGGCCATCGTGCTGCTGGAGTTGCGGCAGGGACACTGTCAAGGTCGTTCGGTCAACGGATGGAGAGTCGCGATACTACAGCTTGGGGCACTTGAGGTAGGTATGAGCCCTCGAGGTTCAGGGGTGTGGCTAAGTGGGGCTACGGTGCGGTGTGAAGCATCAGCTGGTTTTGTACATATGGTATCACTGGTTTTTGAATCTTCCCCCAGAGGATTTCTGGAGTCTCTCCAAAGTTACCAAACTGGACCTCTCTTCTGCTCTGTGAGTGTGGGAGAGGTTGTCCCTGCTTCAGAGGATTCCTGTGCGTTTCTTTAAAAGGAAAGAGCTGATGACACAACTCTAGTGGGTCACTGGGCTAAGACTGAAAACATCTTTAAGGTCCTTCTCTGGGCTTCCTCCCCTCTCACAGAATCACAGAATTCTAGGGCTTGGAAGGGGCCTCAAAAGATCCTCCAGCGTGTCCCCCCTGCCAGAGCAGGATCACCTACAGTAGATCACACAGGAACATGTCCAAATGGTTTTGAATGTCTCCAGAGAAGGAGACTCCACAACCTTCCTGGGCAGCCTGGGTGCTCTGTCACCCTCACAGTGAAAGGTTTTTCTAATGTTTTGTGGAACCTCCTATGCTCCAGCTTGCATCTGTTGTTGTCCTATCATTGGACATCACTGAAAAGAGCCTGGCACCGTCCTCCTGACACTCACCCTTTACATTTTTATAAACAGTAACGAGGTCACCCCTCAGCCTCCTCCAAACTAAAGAGACCCAGCTCCTTCAGCCTTTCCTCATAAGGGAGACGTTCCACACCCTTAATCATGTTTGTGGCTCTGTGCTGGACTCTTTGAAGCAGTCTCCTTACTGGAGGAAAGGGAAGAGTAGCTGGGGCTGGCTTGTGCTCTTTGATTGTACTGGGCAGGTGCCACTTTGAGAGCAGCCCCTCAGGCTGTACAGAGCATCACTCCTCGGAGCCTCCTGACAGCAGGTCAGTCCATGTGGCGGGGGCTGAAGGAACAAGTAAGTGGTCCTGGCTAGAAAGCATTTGGCAACCTAATGTGCTGTTGAAAATGGCCACTTGTCCTCATTGCCTTGTGCAGTCAAGAGTCATGTGAGGAGCCTGCTTTTAAGATGGGCTGTTTTCTCCAGTTTTGTGTTAGTGTTCAGTCCTGCTACTTGATGTAGCCCGAATCTCCCAGCAGTTGACGTTTAGGAATAATAATTTTAATGAGTACAGGGGAACATGTAGGTCCTGCTTTTTTTTCTTTTTTTTCTTTTTGTTTTGACAGTGCCATGCTGTTTCTTGTTTGGTTTTTGTAGCATGATGCTCTTTTTGTCATAGATATGGATCAGTTTGCTCTGTCAGTTGTATCTGGGAGTATTTGGGAGCTTTGCAATATCCGTAGGTATGACGCGTGCCTGCTTCCACCTTCCTGCTGTGGTTAACGCTTCCCTCAGCAAAGGTGCAGGAAAGGACAGAAGTCTCAATCTCCTTAGTTTCCATGTCCTGTGAAACTCTTTAGAAATCTGTTAGTTCCTGTGCCCTGTGAAGCTAGTAGCTGAGCTCTAAAGGTGATTCCCTGGACTGTATGTGCACATAAGCATCTGTTCTGCTTATCCTGTCCAGACCCCTGTGGCATGCATATCTGTTGCATGTGGAGGGATTAGTGTCTGCTGGTTTAAGTGGATGTAGGAACAGTCTCCTGCAGCCATTAGCTTAGCAATGGAATTGCTTTGAAGCAGATTTAGTGGTTTAAGCTCAAGTCTGGGAGTTGACTCCTGGATGTTGTTTCTGGCTTCATGGAAGAGCTCAAGGCCTTTTGGATGAGCTAGGTCTGGTCTCTGCTTGATTTTTCCATATCTGCAGAATGGGAAGAGAGTCTCTCTTCTGTAATGGAAATGTTTCCATTGACTTAACGAAAGGTTACCTTCAGAGTTTAAAAAAATAAACTAATCTCTGTTGGTTTTCTTGTTAAATCAATTAGTTAGTAATTTATTTTTTAAAAAACTTAAAAATGCCTCTGTGATAAGTGACAGAACCAGCGTAGCCTTTAAGTCTAGGGTGATGGAGAGAGAAATACCTGAGAGTTCACCTGTGCCACAGCTTTGTGCCTTGAGGTGTCCCAGGGCAGTTCTCTCATATGTGAATTCTGCACAGAAAATTGGATACACGTATTTATAAAACCTATATATGCACACATGGTGTCCAAGTTTGGTTTGAGAGAGCTTGCTGGTTGTTTGGTGGTAGGCTGAGTTTATGTTCAGAGGAATTAAGATCCTACACCTGCCAAAGTCTGCGTAAGTGGCTTTAACTATGTAAGTGGTCTTGCCATCGGAGGCACAAAATTTGCTCAAGAATCAAGACCTAAGTATTTAATAGTATGCATTTTAGAGTGTTCTTTTTAGTTCTCTCTTTGCAACAAAGTTTTGAAATGCCTTGGGTGACGCAAGGGCAGCAAAAAGCTGTAAACTTAAGGTGAAATCTAAGATGTATGAAAAATTAATAACTTCTCATTTGTTGGCAAGCTGGTTGCAGTTTTCTTTGGCATATTGAATCCAAACCATGCAGCATGTAGGTGCTTTAGTGTCTTGTGTTACAGGAGAGTTTCATCAAGCGTGTCTGATAATGGTAAAGTAGTGTTCCTTTTCCCTTGGCTTCTGACAGATGAGTATAATGTATATTGACGTGCGTTTTGAAGCCAGTGTGTCTTTCTGTCTTTACTGATGTAAAGGTAAAACTGTAGGTTTGATCAGTGGCCAAGTGTGTCTCCCAAATAAGGGAGAGTTCATTCTCTCTTCCTCTTGGACTACAAACAACAGGGAGAGTTACTTGCATGTTAATGGCAAGAGCTGCTGGTGTGGATACGGAGTGTGGCCTTGATGTGACAGACCCTATCAGCAGTGAATGTAGATGGTATCTCCTTCAACTTCTGAAGGCTTTGGATTGTGAGATGTTTACATGAACCATGAGAAACCTGGGAACTTTTGAACGCCTTTGCTGCATTGTTTTGCAAAGGTTCCGCAAAGGTCTCGACATGCTTGTCATTGAAATATCAGTCAAGGTCACAGGATCACAGAATTGTCGAGGCTGGAAAAGACC